TGTCCCGCCACCACCCGCTCTAACTCCTTGCCCAAGAACGGGATGTTGGCCACCAGTCTATAATTGGTGACCATCTCTGGATCCAGGGATGCCTTCTTCAGGACTGGCTGGACTACTGATTCCATTAAAGGGGCAGGTACCCAGCCATCCCTCAGAGAGGCATTGACAACCTCCAGGATCCAGGTCCTTATCCCATGCTTGGCTTTGCTAAATAACCAAGATGGGCAAGGGTCCAGTAAGCAGGTGGTGGGACATACTTGTCCAAACACCTTGTCCATATCATCAGGCTGCAATAACTGAAACTCATCCAACAATTTAGGACCAGACGGCAACATTGATTCCTCCCCTGAAGGGTCTGAGTTACTAGTGGAGTCCAGCTCGTGACGAATCTGAGCGATTTTCTCCTTAAAATACTTGGCAAAGTCATCACAACAGGCCATCAAGGGTGGTACAGGATCTTTTTTAGGGCCCGGATGAACCAGCCCTTGTACCACCCAAAAAAGCTCCGCCAGATGGCATTTTGAGGAGGCAATGGAAGCGGAGAAGAATTTCTTTTCGCCACCCTCACCACCACAGCATAGGCCCAGTAATGGGCTCTCAAGTGTGTTCAGTCAGATTCATCCCATGATTTCCTCCACCTACGCTCTAGACGTCTCCCGACTCGCTTCATCGCCCATAGTTCAGGTGTATACCAAGGGGATGAACGGGCTCTGCCCAGTGGGAGAGGACGCTTAGGAGCAATCGTGGCAATAGCCCTGGTTATTTCCCCATTCCACACTTCAACCAGAGCCTCGACAGAAGCACCAGCCTAATCGATTGGAAATTCCCCCAGAACCTTCAGAAATCCATCCGGATCCATCCGACTCTGGGGGCGGACCAACACAATAGGGTCCGTACCCTTGCAGAGGGAGAGTCCTCCTTCAAGCTCAAGCCTCATGAGGAAGTGATCTGACCATGACAGGGGAGTCAGACGTAAATTCCTCGCCCTCAGGTCCCCCTCTTCCTGCCCCATCGAGAAAACCAGGTCCAGAGTGTGTCCACGTTCATGGGTCAGGCCGATGACATGTTGAGACAGCCCCATGGCCATCATGGAGGCCATGAAGTCCTGAGCCACCCCGGACAGAACAGTCTTGGCATGGAGATTGAAGTCCCCCAGGACCAACATCCATGTCCGAGATGATCTCCCTCAGTTCAGGCAGGGATTCTGTTGGGCAGGAGGGTGCACAATACACCAACAGAATCCCCAATCTGTCTCGTTCGCCCAACACCAAGTAGAGGCACTCTAGACCTGGCCTCGAGAGAACAGGAAGCCCCGTGAGGGAGATGGAAGCTTGGTAAACCAAAGCGACCCCCCCTCCCCTCCCTTCCAGGCATGGTCAGTGCTGGACCAGATACCCAGGCGGACATAGTTGAGAGAGGGAGACTTCCCCCCCTTCACCCTCCCAGGTCTCCGTGATGCAAGCCAGGTCAGCCCCCTCATCCACAATCAGATCGTGGATGAGGGATGATTTATTATGGACCGACCTGGCATTAAGCAGAAGCACTAACAGGCCCGGGGGGCAGTTGATAAGGCTACCTGGACCCTTCTGGCTAGGGGAATAACCAGAAGGGAGAACAGGTGTCAACCATCTGTCCCTCCTTCTTCTGCAATGACTCAAGCTGGTTTTGGCTCTAAGTCATGTCTCAGACTCTGTTTGGCTTGAGGTCTGGGGTCCACGCGGGTTGTCCCTAGCTGTTGACTGAGTTTTGTAACAAGTTCAAATCTTGTTTTGCACTCTCTATCTGATTGTGAGCCCTCCATTGGGGTGCAATGGGAAGATAGCTGTTTATCTGTTCATAGCAACATTCATAGTAAATGCCTCCCCTCCTGAGCAAGGGTGAGAAGAGAATGTCAAGAGCAATAAAGGCTGCCTTAAAACACAGGTGTATTTTTAAAGCATTTGCATTTTAATCCCATTCAGAGTGAAATCCAAATAGTGAAGTCTTGCTTGATTTCCTTGCTTAGAAATGATTTGCTGGAACACAATTGCACCTTTAAAAAGCAGGGAGTATTTGGATTGTATCGTTTGCTACTGCTACCATTCCTTCTACCAAAAACCAAGATCTGGAGGGCACCAAGTTGGAAAAGGCTGTACTAACATGTGAAAGTGAAAGTATCCTGTCACAAGATGTTTACATTCTGGTGATGCCAGCAAGAGCAGGGAAACTGGGTGGGGTGGGGGAGAGTAAGGGAGCACCATGCAAAGCATATAATGGAAGCTGATAATATTTGAAAAGCAGAAGAGTCTTCCCCTTTAGCTTGTGAATACTCTCTTATATAATCAAGCCAGTTGAGCTAAAAGAGTTTCAGAGGTGAATTAATTATGGGGAATTTCATAACTACAGGCTCTACTTTCCTCATTCCCTGCACCCACTCCTTATCTTGGCTTGGTGACTCTTGCTGTCTTAGATGTCTCTTATCTGATGGCGGAAAGGTTGAAACAGGGCTTTTGGAGGCAGATTGAAGTGGTGGGTTCCACAAGCATTCCAGTGGCATCCTATTACTATTCTCCAGCTTCAGTTCAGGCCATCTTCCCTGCTTCACAGAATGTCAGAGTCAGTCATACTGTCCCTAAGTGTCTCTGTGGATCCATGCATGCTGCTCGAGATTTTTTAACTGTCCGGACTGCAATGGAGTGGTCAGCAGTACACCCTTGGTTTGTTTCTTTTGTTGTACCTGTTTTTTCTCCAGCAAGTTCAGTTGCTGTCACATGATCTGGAGCCAGCTGCATGCTCTTTTTCTCTTATTCCACAGACACAGAACACATTTGCATTTGTGAGAAGTTTTTCACTTCTCCAGAACTTTCTGCCTGACCTGCCTGTGATCCAGTTCTTGCATTCCAATTTTGTTCCTCTTGGAGATCACTATGAAAGGGATCATAATAAAAATGCCAATATCATACTGATCCTAATCCACCCTTGGAGAGGTGGGGTTGCTGCTCTCTTGGCCTTCTCTGGGGTTCCACGTGTAGTTGGCTGGCCACTGGAGGAAACCAGATGCTTCACTAGAGAGGTTCCTTGAATGAATCCACACTGCTCTTCTTAAGTACCTATAGCCTGGCAAAAGTGAAGTCACTACTCTTGTGCAGCTTTGTGTTTAATTATGCTTCTTTTGCTGTGAAGAGTTGCCTTTCCTGAAGAGATGCAGACTAGCTGAAAAAAGCTGGAACTGAAATTGCCTGCAAAGTTTGCACAAGTTGGAAGGGGTCAGACAAGAAGCCATGTGTTGCACATCTGGAGGCTATGGTGGAAAGGGGAAAGGGCAGTCCCCCACCAAGAGATTTCCAATGGCATTTATGTTTGGATCATACCTCTTATGTAAGCATGCAACCAATACAGCACTGAACCAGAGTTGCATCAAGTAAGAATATTATCAGGAGGCATTTTTAATAAGAAAAGGCAGACATAGAGAACTGAAGGAAAAGCGGGAGATGAGCAAAACAGTCCACCATGATTAGGTCCCCTTTGGCTGACAACTCCCATGCTTCAAAATGCACTTTCTTCTCACTTGCTTTCAGGTTTGGTCTGCTGATTCCATTTTTGAAGACCTAGCCCAGCGTGAAGTGAGATAGTCTGGGAATCACCCCCCTGGATTACTAATGCATTGTCCTTCATTTTTGCTGAAGCCATACATTGCATTGTCATTGAGTACTATTGTGGTTGGGATGAGATGCCTATGCATGTTATTTTGGCTTAAAGAAAACCTTGATGGAGTTTGCTGCGTAAATGTTCAGGTGGAAACTTGAATATCACCCACAAACATTCACAGAAACACATGCACTACACACATGGACATACACACATACAAATACAACAGACCCACATTCTGTGGGATGGTGGATGGTCTTGTCTTTATTACTGCTGTGTGGTTGGGGTAATACTGGACTGCTCTTCAGGGACCCCTTATAATTCAGTGCCTTTGTTCACAAAGTGATGAAGGAGTCTATCTTCCCTCTCATATTCTGCCTTTATTATTTCATTTCATTTAATTTTAACAAAAACAAAACCCATAATTACACAAATATAAAACAATACAAATAACATAGTAATGATAAACAGATTTAAAAATACAAGGATAAAAGTGCTACCTCAACCAGGATCAGGAGATAAATGCTACTTAATGTAAAATCATTTATGCATTCAAGTTGCTCTACTACAACCACCCTTTCAGAATGTCTCCATAACAATCTTTTATTTGATAATCACCTTTTACTAAATTCTGTAGCACTTGAACAGGCATTTTTTCTTCTAATTTGAATTGCTAGAATTTCTTCTGCTAGTCCAGACAGGTAGGAGGAAGCACAGCTGGAGAGTTCGAACAGAAGAGGAGTAAGAGAGTTGATTTGGGAACTCTGGGAAAGAACTCCAAAAAGTAGCTGAGGGGTGCCCAAATGTTTGTTGAACTACTGATGCTGCAGACACTCATCTTGAGCTTCACATAAATAAACCTTCCAACAAAGAAATTCCACAAGACCCCTATAACTTCTTTCTCAGCAAAATGACGTCTGTTTCATGTCAGAACCCCTCAGACTGCTCATCTCCCACATGCCTTATGCAGGAATCTAACCACACTTACACGGTGCTTTAAGGGCTTAATATGTCATCATTTTGTTTTGGTTTTTGAAGAAAACAGCTTTGCTCAAAGACAATGTAAGTACAATTTCAATTCCTCAATGGAGTACTTCCAGGAAATAGGAATGCTATGTCATTCTTGATTTGCATTTGAGGGACTCTTTTTAGTCCACCTGCATGATATTCCAAAGAGTCAAGCCATGTATATCAGTGAAGCTCAGTCTAAAGTAAGAAGAAACTGAAGAACTTTAGGGATAATGAGATGTTATTGCAAAGACAAATTGTCTGTACAAATCTACAGACAAATTGCACAAAAAAATAAAAACCACAAAAAATGTCCTCACAGATGGACTGTAAACTGCAGAAAAATGTACAGACAGCTGCATTTGTCAAGCTGTTCTCCTTATTAGATGTTCCTTCTTGTTCAACTCGGGTCTCAGCAAAATAATGTAACATTTGGGGAAGAAGATGCAAACCAGCAGGCCAGAACTGGAGGCTAAGATAGAAAAAATCTCTACAGTCACCAAGTATTTCCCTTTGGTGCTCAGGTAGGAAGGCACAAAGGATAGCCAGACACTGCAAAAGACCAACATGCTGAAAGTGATGAACTTGGCCTCATTGAAACTGTCTGGCAGCTTCCTGGCTAGGAAAGCCACCATGAAGCTGACCATTGCCAGGAAGCCCAGATAGCCCAGGGCACAGTAAAACATCATTATGGATCCCTCGTTACATTCCAGGATGATTTCTTCAGCCGCTGAATGCATGTCACTATCTGGAAATGGAGGAGAAGTTGCCAACCAGGCAAGACAGATGGCTGCCTGAAGAAGGCAGCAGGAAAGAAGAAAGGTGTTGGTCAGTGTCTTCCCCATCCACTTCCTCATCTTGCATCCTGGTTTGGTGGCTCTGAAGGCCAAAACCACCATGACTGTTTTTGTGAGCACACAAGACACGGCCACTGAGAAGATGAAGCCAAAAGCAGTTTGTCGCAGGAGGCACGTCACCTGGTGCGGCCGGCCGATGAAGAGCAGTGCACAAAGGAAGCAGAGCAGGAGGGAGACAAGGAGAGAATAGGTGAGGTGCCGGTTATTGGCTTTGACGATGGGCGTCTCATGATGCTTCCAAAACATTCCTAGCACCAGAGCCGTGATCAAGCAGGAAAGAATAATGAAAAAGGTTAAAATGATGCCCAAGGTTTCTTCATAAGAAAAGAAGTTCACTGACTTTGGAATACAGAAATCCTGGTGCTTGCTAGGGTACTTTTCATATCCACATGGACAACAGTAATTCATATCTGAGGAAAAATGAATACATACATGTTCTCATGCATCCTACAGGTCTTACCAACAGGCCATATCAGTTTCTCAGCTATATTGTTTTCTAGTGAAATTAGGGAATCCATAATTTCATTAACCCCATGTTTTGAAAATCTCTAGTGTTTTCCACTCTGAACTTGAAGAAACTGCCCATATGCAATCACAAATCAATTCAAAAGAAATGTTCACCCATCTCCATGAGCCAAATTCAGTAGCCGTTTTGTCCATGAAGAGGCTTATTGTGTTGGCTTGCCATAGGGCTGTTGAGGATGAAGAGTCTTTCATGGGATGAGGTGTGGATGGGGGAGTGGAGGAACCCTAATTCTGCACTTACTTGCCTAAATACACAGTCATTTCAGACCCAGATTTTCATGAACTAAACACTGAGTGCCATCAGCCCTGCTGGATAGATGCATTTGTACATTTGGGTTTACAGCTGCAGTATCAACATGACATATACATATGTAGAAATCAGGAATAACACTAAATTGGCTTATTGGATGAAACAGGGCAACATTTTTATTGGCTACAGCCTCCATGGCCCAGGGTCAGAATGCAATAATGGAGTAGTTCAAGGTCTGGTTGATCTCCCCCCTCCCCCCAAACACACCCTTGCAGCTCCATGGTCCCTTCCTGCCCATTCATATGAAGAAAACCCAGCAGTCCCTGAGGGAATCAGGTGCCTTGAAGCTCCACTTCAGAGCATTTTATGGAGAAACCTAGTTTGGGCAGTGGGGACAGAGTGCCACTCCCACCAAAAAGGATCCAGCCCAGGGCCTCCACAGCTAGAACAGTTGGGAAGCACATATGAAAAATAAACAGAAATAAAGCTCTCACGCATGCCTAAACATGGCAATTCTAAGAAATGCCAAGGAATGCAGTACCAAGCAAAAAATTGTGTGGGGCTTTGTATACATATCTGAAGTATCCATTTCATTTGCAGCCATAAACCTGAAAGAACCTGATTGATTTTGCAAACAAACACAAGCAGAGAATGCTCTAGGCAATTAACAGGATCTTGCATATTCTTGACTTTAGAGCAAGCCTAATTGAACTGAATGGGAAGTGTTTCTGAGTAAGCCTGCACAGAAACAGGCTAGACTTCATTTAAGGGATGTAGGGAGTTGTAGAACTAAAGAAAGATATTTGAAAACATAGATTTAGGATAATACATCTGTGATAGAAGAAGTGTACTGACTGTGACTAGATTCTGCTCATTATTCAGTGTTCATCAGTTACGATCTTTCACATCAATGGAAGAACCTATGTAGTGTTCAAGGCCAATCTCCAAGAACATTTGTTTAAATGGTCAAGGAACAGCCACCCTACCTGAACATTTAGCATTCACTGCATTCGGGTCATTTCAAACCACAGGACAAACCATCACATACCTGCTCACACAAGCCAACCTACTCCCCCATTATTCAACATCGTTCACCTGACTGCATTCAATCACATTTGGATCCCTGAAAAAAGATCATTTATATACTTGTTCTTGGTCTTATCACAGATATTTGGAATAAATGTAAATTCTAATGCCTACCCTTCTTGCCTGAAATCATCCCTATGGGACATGGGATGCAATCATAGCAGCAAAATGGCTCCCCTTCCTTGACCTTCTTCCTAGAACCAGGATTGCAGCTTTCACTGCACACAGATAGAGGCTGTGCCTAGGTCATCAGGGGAGGAGGAGAATAAGAATCATGAGAATTACTCATCAGAATCCTTCTAGTTCTTCAATCTCTTCGTATGTTGCCAAGCTCTCCTGGACCTCCTTTTCCATCAAGGTGCTCTGTGATTCTTTGGATGGTTAAAATTATATGAAGATGTCACGGAAGGAAACTGCATGCATGCTTCCCACCTGCTTGCAAGTGGAATGGAAAAATGGGGCAAAAAATGGCTTTTAAGTTCGAACATGAATGAAGTGATCAACCTAGCTCTTTCTGCAGTTGGGAAAACCATTACTGTTCAACTATGCCTATATTCTCCCAAGATCAATGTGTTCCATTTTTGGCATTTTTTTCCTGCAACTTTGAATATGTAAGCGATGCATTTTATGCATTCTTCAAAATGCATTCTTTGTTTAAAAGGAATCATGTCCACATGATTTGGCACAAGTGGAATTGCTGCTTACCCTCCTCCCTCCATTTAAAACATCCCATTGGTTTGGATCATTGTATGCCAAGTTGACTTTGAAACCAATCGAAAGAAAATTAAGACAAGACTACGATTTCCCCATGATTATACTGGAATAGAACTCAATCTTAATGTGAAATTATGTAAGCCACTCTGAGTATGTTGTAAGAAAAAAGTGTGATATACATCTGATGGATGGATGAGAGAGTAGAGGAATAATAAAAGAAGACATATTACAAAAGAGAAAACTTAACATGGTACATTTTTAATATAAACTGGATCAAACCTCAGTCAATGTTAAAGCAGTTCCGCTGAAATCAGAGGGACCTTAATCATAACTAATTTGGGTTCTGTTTCTGTCATTGTTCTGTCCTAAGTCTGACTACGCTGATCAGAACATGTCTTCATAATTGCATAATATTATCTAGTTCCATAATGAAGCAGTTAAGTTACAAATGCAGTTATGATTGTAAGTATAGTCAAACCATAGGGAATTCATACAATTTGTTTTTTCTTTTATTCCTTCAGCTATTTCAGCTGCTTATTTGAGCAGCACAGGAAGCAGGGGAGAAGCTTGTCGGTTCTCATTCACTGCATCACATATTGGTCTATCCAGTTACAATTAAGGATTCTTCAAGGCCCATCCTTGTCAAATGAAATAAGCCACACATGTCACTACTGAGACTGAGTGTTATTCACGTGGGTAGATTTGCCAATCCGCCAAGAATCTAACCTGATTGAACCAGCTGTTCCATGTTATGGCTTCTGGACTGATGGTGAATGCTTGGCCAGGAGTAGCCTGGGCATCCATCCTCCCAACTTTCACTCTTTGAAAGGATTGATTTGAGGACACAATCCAATTGATCACATCAAATCCAGTGACTAATTCTCCATTCTTGTTAAAAGATAACTTGTCCCCAGCACAGTTGTTAAATGAAACGGCCTTCAGAAAATGATGGAGCTGGAATGAAAATGGAGGCGTTTAGAAAAAATATGAAAGGAATCATGCAGACAGAAGGAGAGACATACTTGCACTGGATGATGGCCAGTATTCTTCATGTCTTTCACTTGGTCCACTTATGCTATGATATTGAGTTTAAGGTCAGATACTTCTCTCATTCAAAGGTTAGATTAAAATCCTTCAAAGTTTGAGTAAATTGTCTAGCCATTCTACAAATGCAGTTCATGTGAGGGAGCGCATTTTAAATATTCCTGAATGAAGACATATATTCAAGGACATTGCTGTTTTGTGTAAGAGACATATTTGATGATCAAACCCATATATGCATTGAATGAGTTTTCCTACTTTACATTGATGCATTTTCTTTTCTAGAAAGCTGTGGTTCTCTCCCACATGAGGCTATCCAGTATTACCTGCCACTGTGCTTGGATCTGAAATGGCAGTCCACCTCTGGTCACCATTCCTCTGTTCTTCAGACCAGATGAAGACATGGCATGCAAGGCATGGGCCACTGCATGGACAGCATTATAGACATTGTAGCTGTGGCCGGTCAAACTCATTTCAAAAAAAGTTGCAGGAAGATATTCCAGCTTCTCATCCCCAGTGCAGATATTGCCAACTACTTTGCCCAGAAGTGAATCTGGGAATACACAGCTGAAAGCACCCTGCCAGAATGACCTAAGAAAACCATTTCCCTTTGGATTGGAAGGGTTTTGTGCATTAAGGAATTCTTGAAATCCTGGGACATCACTGGATTGAATTGTGAAAGATAGAGCACCATGGAAAAAGTCTGTGTTCCAATTTCTTTGATAAACAAATGATGTGAGCTCAACCTGAGCTGTCACAATTATCACTTTTCCAATTGAATTTTCCACATATTCTCGTTCTGATAGATATGGGAACCATCTAAAAAATGCCATGGAATAAGATTCTCCATTGGCCACCAAAACATTGGCTGTGCTGTCCACAATTTTATCACGCATTTTTGCCCCTTTCTGAAGCATGTCTTTCATATCCCTGCCAAGAGCAAGTTCAGGGATTTTTTCAATGAAGGAAAAACAGACACCACTCTCAGAAAACAGTGGCACCACCATCTGAAGAAACCGCTCCCCATTGTCATTGTCCATAACGACTGTCCCAATCCATGTCCACCCAAAATGCAACAACAAAGTGAGAATCCCTGCATACTGAAGGGACTCCTTGGGAGTCATGTTGTAGAAGGAAAGGCCTGGGGTTTTATCGTTCATCACTGGTGCGGACCCAAATAAGAACTAAGGAGATACAACACAGACAAGAAGCGAGGCCATATAAATAAAGACATTTATGTAGCAGCTTTGATGATTTCAAAACATTTGCACATATAACCTCAGCAAACATCTCAACAATACTGTATTGCAAGGATCCCCAGTGTGTCACGGCCCTTCTGGGGAGCTCCAATGATGCCTGGAAGGGAGTACATCATATTATTTTTCCATCCTCTCCTCTCCTCTCCTCTCCTCTGTCGGAGTGCCTGCTCCGACAATCGGCGCGAGAGAGTTCAGAGAGAGAAATAAAACACTGCAGACGAGAGATAAAGTTTTAAAGCATGCTTGGTTGGTTGTTCGGGAGAACAAAGAAGATCTTCGCAGAAAAATCCTACTGCGTCAACACAAGCAGCCCTTTTTATTATTTCACAGATTGATACATTTATACTTGCGTAATCCAATAGCCATCGAGTAAAGCAGTGAACACCCTAGTTGATTGTGCGCAAGCACAGGATTCACAAAGGCTTATTGATTGCTTATGCGCAGGCGCGGGTAACAGGAAGCGTACTTATTGCTATATATGGTCACAAGCCTTATATGGTTACACAGGTGAAGTACAATGCTATTAGCTGAGTAAGTTGCAATACTATTGGCTGGTAAATTACAATACTATTGGCTGAGCGTAACGTGCCTAGCTACAGCATGAATGCTGCGAGGCAGGGATGAATTCCCACACTCCTCTCCCTCTCTCCCTCTCTCCCTCTCTCCCTCTCTCTCTCTGCATGCACGCTCATCTCCATGGACTTGGATGGCAAGTATACAACTTCCTAGCAATAATTCTGATCCTTCAGCAAAAGTGGTCCAAATACACAAAGAGGTCTGCATTTGTCAATACACCTCCTCCTGTTCATTTATCAGAATATTATAAGGTGTTCAATCATTGCCTAATGAATGGGTGTTCTCCTACTCCCTCTCATAGTATAAGTCCTTAGAGGGCACAGAGAGGGCACAGAGCAGTCATTTCATCAATATGTTGATTACCATAAAATTAATAATTTCATAATAGTGCTACGATCTCTATACATCTGGCAACCAGTGATACATAATTTGACAAAACCACTGAAAAAAAAAATGAAGCTTGTTTTCTAAGCCAGTGTGACATTCAAAAGCAGACTGACTCCACAGTTCAATCCCCAACATAATCTTGCTTTTCCTGAAATGATTAGTGATTCAGACTGGTAGTGCATGCAGAGCCTGGTACACAGAGAAAGAAATGCAGAGCTCCATCCTTCATTGCTCTGCCTAGGGCTGGAGCAAGGAAATAAGGAGTTTTCATGGCATTAAAAATGGAACAGGATACCAATGTGAATGTTGTCTGAGCCTCTGCCTAGACTTTCCTGTTTCAGATCCATGACCACATAAATGAAGGAAGTCCCGGTGGATACCCCTTGTCCCCAATAGCTTGTTTCAGATTAAGTCTTCTTAGTTATCCCAAGGAGATAGAGAATATGATTACTTCCAATGTAAAAATCTCCATCTCCAAAGCACAAATGCATCAACTTAAGAACAAAATGAACATGACGCAAATGTTAGACTCCCATTCCCCATATTAATCTAAGGACATGTTCCCCACCTGTGGTATCTTATGGATATCCAGGAGAGTTGCTACTTGAAGGGAGGTTTGGGAGTCCAGTCCCCCGATGACTGCTATCAAGTGTTGCTTGAGATTGCATTTGTAGTTAGGAACTAATCGTCCTGCTGTGCATATCAGTAGCAAGGTGACCTGATAGGTCCACTTGGCTGTGAAATAGCTGTCATAGATGTGGAAGCCCAAGGTCAGGTTGGGTAAGATGTGAGGATTGTCATTGATCTCCTGCACTGCAAATGTCAAGGCCAGGATATGCTGGTAATTCTTTGGCACCACACTAGAAGCAACACAGTCATCTCCTGTATTAGAACGTTCCTCACAGAATATTTTGTAAGCAGCTCACACTACTTTTGGCATCATCATTATTGTCATTTCAATCACATCTCTGACTTACCTTAGACAATGCAATGCTAACACAGACAGTATTGATATTCATCTTCCAAATACAAAATTCCCTGGGCTTTCTCAAGGTAAAAGAATTGAATACTGGGATCCTATGAATGTCAGCTCAGAGAGAAAACTCTAGATTCCAATGACCCTTTCTCCCACATGAATAGCATCAACTCATAACACAATGATATTATCATCCTCATGGCAGTGGCTAATTAATTGCCCGATAAGCAGGCTTATTGGGAAGCCCAGGAACGGTGTGAAGCATGGTCAGAGAGGAGTGCCCTGCACAAGTTCAGCTATTGGCATTTGTAATATTAGAAGACACATTTGTCTGCTCATATTGTTGTTCCAGTTAGGAGGAACATCTATTAGGTATATGAAAACAATTAAAATGATTGTGATGGGATGAAGCACAGAGTACAGGATACAGAGCGATTCCAAACAGAACTGAAATAAATGTGAAGAACCTTAAATTGCCCCTAAAATGCATTCTTCTGGCCATGCAGAAAAACATGCCTTTCATAATTTGAACTTCTCCTACTTCCCAAGCCATTGTTCACAGCCTGCATCTGATACAAATATTCTGGTGACAGTCTTATGAATGAATAAATCAAACTTATGAATGAATTAATCAAGTGGACACATGCACACACACAAAAGGTATTAACGCCTTACGAAACTTCATCAAGTAATGCTAGTGGGGGTTCTCCAGTAAAGGCTAATGGATCAGGAACGATGAAGGACAGAGAAGCAATGGCACCAATCATGAGATCACCCAGTTGTTGATACTCATGAAGTGGAGGCTGTGGCTCACGGTTCTTGCATTTTTTAGCATCAGCCTTGCTGGCTATTTGGAGAAGCAAGTTCAGCAACACCACTCCTAATTCCCTCATGCTGAGTAGAAGGACAAATGCTTGCTCTTCATGCAAATTCACTTCTTCCTATTTGGAGCACTGAGATTAGAAAGGTCAGCTCCTTCAGAGCAGTGGCTGTCCTTATTTATCTGTATGATTAATGACCCCTGTATGGATTGCCACCTTTCTTCACAGCCTAGTAGAGTTGCCATGTTCATTAGGAATCTGTGGGGATGTTGAGTAGTAACTGAACTGCTCTTTTAGATAATTAAAGGAGCATATAGCAATTTGACATCAGTTGAAAACAGGCATTGCTTTCCACACTTGATGCTGAGCACAATATTTCTATAAGTTTTACAAATAAATTTGAATGGAGTCATCAGAAAGAAGCACAGAACTATGAGAGTAAACACAGCATGGATTATGAACTCAACTGGAATCTATGGATTTAGTCTGAAGTCAGAATACAGAACCCAGATTTTGACTGGGACCATAGTGCTTGGGCAGTGAAGATTATTCCTACCTCTACAGCTATTTGCTTTGCAATATTCTCTCTACCCTGCCAATGGAATTTTCCCACTCACACTAAATTCCTTGAGGAAGCTTAAAAGCTGTGTATGGGATGGGGTTTACTTCTCTTCTCCTGTTGTGCTGTGTCATGAGGACATAACTCTCATCTCCAATTAACTCACGCAGCAGTCGGCAATAAAACTAAAGACTTTTATTGCTATTTGCTACAAGATTTATGATGCAACAGATATGCTCTGGCGATGAGCTCCTTGCAGCTCAGTTGCCCCCTCCTTTCTGAACCCTAAGGGTAAGGTCACATGGATCTCAATCTTCTCTCACATCTTTCTGTTCGTGGGTGGGACAAACTTCTCTCCTGCCGTCCCAGTTGGTCTAACCACCGCAATCTTCTCCTGAGCTGGGTGTTCCATAAATTTCCTGTTACCTCTTCCTGTTCCCTAGGACTCTGCCCAGCAGCTTCAGATTCAGGAGGCGGGTGGGGGGGGTAACTTGTTCAAACACCTCAGAGTCTAGAGGAAGGGAAGCTGCACCCTGCTCAAACAACTCAGAGCTAGGGTGTGGGGAGGCTACTCGCTTGGAAGCCTCAGAGTTGGGCTGCAGAGGGGCCGTTTGGGCCCTGGACACCAAGTATAAATCCCCTTGTTCCAATGCCTGACTCTCACTGTGAGCTTCTAGCCCTCTCTCACGTGACTCCTATGTCGAGCCATTAGGCATAACATGCTGTGATCCTAGTATAAACTGGGAGCCATACCTTTATTAAGAACAATGCAAATTCCAGAAATGATTATACAAAATTTTCACCCCCCACTCAATCAGAGTTCATGCCCAGCCAGCTGCTTTCCATCTATCTCCTAATTGGGCTTTAAAAATCTAAAGCTATGAAATCATTTGTTAATTGTGCCAGGAGGCCAAGAATGACTAACTGGATGGTGATGGTCATTTATTTGAGCAGTTTGCATTGACTGGAACTTGCCAGTCGTAGGTGGGGGACATTCTTGCTGATCAGGCACCATTCGTCCTTTTCTCCCTGACTTAAAAATGATGTGAAAAGAAACTACTGTTCTTAAGCTTTGGCCAAGAACTATTCTGTAGAAACTCTCCTGAAAGTTGATTTCTAATTTCTTAATGGCCCTATTTATGGGCCAAGTGAAAGGAGAGAACTCTGGATTGTTTGTCTCCCTGTTGGACAACAATATAATCAATAGTATTTTTTTCATGTAACACACTCTTAGGAGTTTAACCTTCCCAGAATATATTAATTTTGTCTTTTCTTTTTCCCCACCCTCCACATCTATTTCCTAGCTCTCTTAAATATATTACTCATGGTCTTAAATTTCCTCTTTTTTCCCAGTGAATTAATATTAAGAAAGTTAGAAAAATTTGGAAGAAGCTGTTCTCCTGTGATTTTAAAATAAAAAATGGTACCCAAATCTCAAATTCTTATAAGATTATGAAACAAAGGAAGAAATAAAATGGCATTAGAGATTTTCAGGAACAAGATAAAGGGTTGCGGGGGCACATGAAACCTGTGAGGAAGACAATTTTAACCCCTGCCCTGATCGGGTGAAGAGAAATTGACACTGCTAGTTTTGCAATGAAAAGGAGATGTAACTATACTGAGTGATGGCTCAGAATAAAAAGCCAAAAGGAAAATTCTGTCAATAAATATTAATAGTCTAAACTTTCCTTCTAAACATTCAAAAGTTCTAAACGCTTCAAAATCAAAACACTCTCTATAAACAAAACGTATGCCCATATTATAATTGCAATAAATGGAGCAGGAAATATGAAGATATGACACTAAAAAGAAAGGGGTTGCAATTCCTCTTAAGAATCCAAGCCTGAATGCCATGGAAGAATAGAAGGACTCAGATGGATGACCCATCATTCTTAAGATATCCAAATGGAAAGGTACACTCCAAATGATGCACTAGATAAATTTTATTATCACTATTTTCAATCACTAATGGACTTTCAGGGAGGCAAATATTGATTTGAAGTGATATGAATAGAGTATTAGATCTCAGTAAAGACAAGTCAAAGAAACAAAAGAGGGTAACCCCCCCCCCCGCAAAAAAATAAATTATATGAAAATGTTGCAACTGTTTTTTTCCAAACCTGTATGAAGAAAGTTCAGTCTCAGAAGATGGAATGGAGCATTACATAGACAGAGGAAGCCCATACTAATGAATTTATATCAGACCAAAGTGAAAAGGAAAATGGCCCTATTACCATGCAAGCGATTTCACAAGCAATCAGAAGGCCAAGAAAAGATAATGCAACTGGACTGGATGGTCTCTCTGCAATGTTTTATAAGTGTCAGGAAAATTAATGCTGCCACTCCAAAAAGTAATGAAAGAAATGAAAGATGAGAGATCATTACTTATATTATGAGAAAAAGCACGCGGACATGCACGCACACTTGTGCGTGCACGCGCACACACACACACACACACACACACACACACACATATATGTATGTATGTATGTAGCCGGGGATCAGACTAGATGATCCTGGAGGTCCCTTTGACTCACTCTGTTTCTGTGTTTCTGTATCGATGATACACTGAGGAGGCAATGATCCTTCCCAGCCACACTTGTATGGAACCATTTCATTCTTAAATGTGAATACACACTTTTTACTTTGATAATGGCTGAATGACTAAGAAGATGTCTAGAAAAAAAGGTCCATACAGATCAATCAGGATTTATCCCATGAGACTGATTGAAAGTATTGTCTGCTTTGTGATTGACTATATAATTTGTTAAGTAGAAGAAAATAGAGGTATTTGTCTTTCCAGATGCAGAAAAAAGTGTTGATATTGTGTCTTGGTTCTTTCTCTTTAGAACTCACAAATATTTAAACTGGTATGAGAGTTATGAACTGGATCCAAGCAATTCATACTAAGCAACATGCTAAGATCCTTATAAATGGAATGCTAAATGGCTTAAAAATTGATGGAGAAAAATAGAAAATATTCCATTATGAAGATGATATAGTGCTGACCGTCTTAAACCTACTTTTATCCATACAACAAATAAAAGGCAAAATTATTTTTTATATTATTGCAGTTATAAAATCAATTGGAAGAAATTGAAATTCATGCTGCAGTTTTTCAGATGATGAATTCAAATTCAAATTAATAATCTTTATTACATTCACAGACCAGCATAAAACAAAACTCCTGGACTCACTTCACCATTTCAGCCTATCAAATACAAGAGTTATTCACCCAACATTAAATGATGGTACAGGAATAGAAATAAGACAAAAGATATCAGTAAAGTAAAGCCTGCCAATGACCTAGCCTTCTTGCGTTGCTATATAATCCCCTATAAAATACTTACTTTAACTTAAAGATGTTAACAACTCTGTTTTAAAAGCCATCATATTGGGTCAGGCAGTAGGACATCTCCCATGGTCCAAATGAGAAATTGTTGCAGTCCAACATCTTTTTCTGGGTGTTAATCATGGCCACAAAAACTTAGTGACAGTGTACACAAGAGTGGGACTACAGTCTGATAGCAACAAATAGCTATAATATTGGCTTGGACTCCTTGGAAACCTATTCAGCAGTAGAGAAATAAAAATAGTATGAATGTCTCAGTAGAGCATACAGTTGAACAGAACATGGCATGTGTTTTCACTTTGTCCTGACCCACAAGGGCATAACTGCTTTGCAAATGGCATCTTTTTAGAACACCCACTAGGGCTGCAAAACAAAACCATGTCCACACAGATGGATTGCAAGCTGCAGCATAATGTGTAGACACATACATTTCTCAAGCTGTTTTCCTTACTAGATGTTCCTTCGTGTTCAACTCAGGTCTCAGCAAAATGATGTAGCATTTGGGGAAAAAGATGCAACCCAGTAGGCCAGAACTGGAGGCTAAGATAGAAAAGATCTCTACAGTCACCAAGTATTTCCCTTTGGTGCTCAGGTAGGAAGGCACAAAGGATAACCACACACTGCAAAAGACCAACACACTGAAAGTGATGAACTTGGCCTCATTGAAACTGTCTGGCAGCTTCCGGGCAAGAAAAGCCACCATGAAGCTGACCATTGCCAGGAAGCCCAGATAGCCCAGGACACAATAAAACATTGTTATGGATCCCTCATTACATTCCAGCACAATTTCTTCAGCTACTGAATGCATGTCAATATCTGGAAAAGGAGGAGAAGTTGCTAACCAGGCAAGACAGATGGCTGCCTGAAGAAGGCAGCAGGAAAGCAGGAGGATGTTCACCAGTCTCTTTCCCATCCACTTCCTCATTGTGCATCCTGGTTTGGTGGCTCTGAAGGCCAAAACCACCATGACTGTCTTCGTGAGCACACAAGAAACAGCCACTGAGAAGATGAGGCCAAAAGCAGTTTGTCTCAGGAGGCACGTCACCTGTTGAGGTTGGCCAATGAAGAGCAGAGCGCAGAGGAAGCAGAGCAGGAGGGAGACGAGGAGAGAATAGGTGAGGTGACGGTTGTTGGCTTTGACAATGGGCGTCTCGTGATGCTTCCAAACTATTCCCAGCACCAGAGCCGTGATCAAGCAGAAAATAATAACGAAAGAGGTTATAATGACACCCAAAGGTTCTTCATAAGAAAAGAAGTTAACAGACTTGGGAATACAGAAATCCTGGTGCTTGCTTGGGTATTTTCCATCTTCACATGAATAACAGTAATGCATATCTGAGGAAAAATGAATATATACATGTTTTCGTGCATTCTGCAGGTCCTACCAACAGGCTACAAGAACTTCTGTAGAGAATGCATTAGTTTCTTGCATCCACATTTGTAAAATCCACTCTGAATATGAAGAAAGCACGGATTTCCTTTTATAGACCAACTGAAAAAAATTCTCACCTATCTGCATGAGTAAATTTAAAAGGTGTTTACAGCCTGAAGGGGACCATGCTGTATTGGCCTGATATATAGCATTTTGGGCAGTGGGGTCACACAGAGTGCTGCTCCTACCAAAAAGAATTCAGTCCAGAGCCTCCTGGGCTCCATAGAGAGGGAAGCAGTTATCAAAAATGAAGCTCTAACACATGCCAGCCATGGTAATATCTAAGGAGGAAATGCAGAGAACAAAATAGTATGGGGCTTTGAAAGCATGTCTGAAGCATCCATTTCACTCACAGTCATATGCCTGAGAGATCCCGATTGAATTTGCAAATGAAAGTGGACAGAGCATGGTCTATGCAATGAAGAGCATATTGACTTTATGGCCACTATCATACATTTTCTTTACTTTAGAACAAGCCTTATTGAGGTCATTGGGATTTTTTTCTGAATAAACCTGCACAGAAACAGGCTGGCCTTGATTTAAGGGATGTGGATAGGTGCAGTACTAAGGCAAGGTCTTGCTCTGAAAAGGTAGACATAGGATAATATGGCTCTGCTCCCAGAGATGTACTGAGTATGATCAGAGACCCTGTTACTTGTTATTAATTGCTCTTTGATCTATTAGACTCAACAGAAGAATCTGTGCAGTGTTCAAGGGAAAGTTCTGAAAGTGTGTGTTTCAATGATCAAGGATCAGCCACACATCCTGAATATTTAGAATCCACTGCAGTTGAGTCATTTGAAACAACAGGTGCAAACCATCACACACATGCTCACACACACCTACTTCCTCCCCCCATTCAACTTCTTCCACCTTGTCCCACCTGTGCCCACTCTATCACACTTCAGTCCCTGAAGAAAGATTTTTATATGGCAAATCTTTATTTTATCTGATGCATTTGGAACAGATGTACACTCTAATACCTACCATTCTTGCCTGAAATCTTCCCTTTCGGGCATGGGATGCAATCATAGCAGCAAAAGGGCTCCCCTTCCTTTATCTTCTTCATTGAACCAGGATTGCAGCTCTCACTGCACGTGGATAGAGGCTGTGTCTAAGGCATCAGGGGAGGAGGAGAATAAGAATCATGAGAATTATTCAGTGGAATCCTTCCAGTTCTTCAATCTCTTTGTATGTTGCCAAACCCTCCAGGAACTACTTTTCCATAAATGCTCTCCAATTCTTTGGTAAAGTTGAAATTATACAACCATGTCTTCAAAGAAAATTGCATGTGTGCTTCTTACCTGCTTGTAAATGGAAATGACCAGCAAAAAATGGTTTTCAAGATCATGTATGAATGGCATGACCAATCCAGTTCCCACTGGGGTCAGGAAAAGCACTATGTTTCAAGCTTTCCTAAATTTTCTCAAAATTATATTTCAGTGTGCTGCCATTTTGTCAAGTTTTATGCTCCATTGGATAGATAAACAATAAATTTTATTTTATACACATATTACAAAGAAGAAAAGTGAGCATGGTACATTTTTACTAAGAAATGGGTCAAATCTTAGCTTTTCCTAGAGCACTACCACTGAAATCAAAGGGGCGTTAATTATTTTTAAGTATTTATGTTAATTATTTATCTAAATGCACATGTCATTTCTGAAATTACATGTTATTCAAATGTACAGATTATGCCACTCTGCCAAGACCCAAACCTGATTAAACCAGCTGTTCCACGTTATGGCATCCGGACTGATGGTGAAAGCTTGGCCAGGAGCAGCCTGGGCCTCCATCCTCCCAACTTTCACTCTTTGAAAGGACTGGTTTGAGGACACAATCCAATTGATCACATCAAATCCAGTTACTAACTCTCCATTCTGGTTGAAAGAAACCTTGTCCCCAGCACTGTTGTTAAATGAAACGGCCTTCAGAAAATGATGGAGCTGGAATGAAAAGGAAGGAGCTTAGAAAAACTGTGAAAGGAATCATGCAGACAGAAGGAGAGAAACACTTGCACTGGATGACTGAAATTATTCTTATTGCTTTTCACTTGGTCCAGTAATGCTTTAGTACTGAGTTTAAGGTCAGATACTTCTCTCATTCAAATGTATATATTGCTTCAGAGGTTTCAGTCAATTTTGCAGGCAGTTCATGTGAGAAAGCCTATCTCAAATGTTCTTGAACATAAACATTCTTGAGGAACTTGGCCTTTGCAGTGGGAGGGAACATAAATGACCATCTAGTTCAAATATGAACTGAATGAGTTTCCCTACTTTCTACTGATTTTTTTTTTCCTAGAAAGCTGCCTGTCTCTCCTACATGAGACTATTAAGCGTTTACCTGCCATTGCACTTGGCTCTGAAATGTCAGTCTTCCTCTGGTCACCATTCCTCTGTCCTTTGGACCAGATGATGACATGGTATGCAAGGCATGGGCCACTGCATGGGCAGCATTGTAGACATTGTAGCTGTGGCCAGTCAAGCGCATTTCAAAATAAGTCACAGGAAGTCTTTCCAGCTTCTCATCCCCAGTGCAGATATTCTGATCTAAACTGCCCAGAGATTGATCTGGGAATACACAGCTGAAAGCATTTTGCCAGAATGACCTAATAAATCCATCTCCTTTTGGACTAAAAGGGTTTTGTGCATTAAGGAATTCTCGAAAACCTGGGATATCATTGGATTGAATAGTGAAAGTAAGCGCACCATGGAAAAAATCCATGTTCCAATCCCTTTGATAGACGAACGATGTGAGCTCCACTTGAGCTGTTGCAATCACTACTTTACCAATTGGTGTGTCCGTCACATGTTCTCGTTCTGATAGATACGGTAAGTATCTGAAAAGTGCCATGGAATAAGATTCTCCATTGGCCACCAATACATTGGCTGTACTGTCCTCAATATTGTCACGTACTTTTGCCCCCTTCACAAAAAGGTCTTTAATATCAGAGCCAACAGTAAGTTCAGGGATTTTTTCAATGAAGGCAAAGCAGATGCCACTCTCAGAAAACAGTGGCACCACCATTTGGAGGAATCGCTCCCCATTGTCATTATCCATAATGACTGTCCCAATCCATGTCCACCCGAAATGCAGCAGCAAAGAGAGAATGCCTGCATACTGAAGGGACTCCCTGGGAGTCATGTTGTAGAAGGAAAGGCCTGGGGTTTTATCATTCATCACAGGTGCAGAGCCATATATCAGCTAAGGAGGTACAAGAAGGAGAGGGAGAAAGCCAAATTCTACAGACATTCTTGCAGCAGCATCAATGTTTTCAAAATGTTTTCCTATATTCCCTCAGCAATCTTCTAAACAGTACCTTAATACAGGGATCCTGATTGTGTCATTGTTCTCTGTAAATCTGGCAACCTCCCACTTCCTGCAATTCAGATTTTGTGCAAACCACTGAGCATGATGAATCTGATTTTCTGAGGCAATGTAATATTCAGAAGTGGTCTAACTCCCCAGTTCCATCCCCAAAATACTCTGATCTTTTCCAGAAATGGTTAATGATTCAGGCTGGAGGTGAATGCAAAGACTGTTTCGCAGAAAGAACCAAATGTAGAGCTCTCCCCTTCTGTGCCTAAGGAGAGCTACAGCAAGGCGCAAGGAAACAAGGAATGTCCATGAAATATCGCAATAGAATGTGATGTTCATGTGAATGTGGTCTGACACTCTGCCTCAGACCCTCCACTCTCAGATCCACATCTGCTTAAAGGAACTGAGTCCCAGCTGAAATTACCATCTCCCCACATTGGTTTATTTTTGATGTTGTTGCTCATCCAAAGCAAACTGTCTCTGCACTTATTTCCAAAGTACAAATCTCATCTCAAAGCACTAATGAAAGTACATAATGAATCGGAAGCAAATGTCAGACTCCAATTCTCCCAAGCCACCTAAAGACATGCTCCCCACCTGTGGAATCTTATAGATATCCAAGAAAGTAGCCACATGAAGGGAGGTTAGGGCATCCAGTCCCCCAATGACTGCTATCAAGTGTTGCTGGTTGTCGCATTTGTAGTTAGGGACTAATCTCCCTGCTGTGCAAATCAGTAGTAGGGTGGCCTGATAAGTCCACTTGGCCATGAAGTAGCTGTCATAGACGCGGAAGCCCAAGGTCAGGTTGGGTAAGATGAGAGGGTTGTCATTGATCTCCTGCACTGCAAACATCAAGGCCAAGATCTGTTGGTAATTCTTTGGCACCACACTAGAAGCAACAAAGTCACCTCCTGTATTAGAATGTTCCTCACACAGTATTTTGATAGCAGCTCACACTGCTTTTGGCATCATCATTATCCTCATCTTGCACTTGCACTATTGATATTCATCTTCCAAATAGACCATGCCCTGGACTATTTCATGATAAAAGAATTGAAGAGTGGGATCCTACTCATGGTACCTCAGATAGAAGTCAGCAGTTTCCAATGAAGCTTCCTCACAAATGAAGTACACCAGTGCATAATCCCATTTGGGTATCCCCCTCATTGCCATGGATCATCCACTTCCCACTGAATAGGCTTAGGTGGGAGGCACAGGGGTAGAGGAATGCCCTTCAATGTATCTAAATGGACATTTTCAGCCATTAGGATTTAAGCCATTATAATACACATCTGTCTGATGATTTGTTGTTGTTAGTTGCGAAGTCATGTTCAACCCATTGCGACCCCATGGACAACACTCCTCCAGGCCTTCGTGTCCTCCACCAACTCCTGGAGTCCACCTAAGCTCACACAAACTGCCTCAGTGACTGCATTTAGTAACCTCATCCTCTGCCATCCCCTTCTTCTTTTGCCTTCAATTGTTCCCAGCATTAGGCTCTTCTCCAGGGAGTCCTTCCTT